TTGGTTTCTCCGGTCAGCGAGGGTCGAGCCGGGAACGTGAGAAGGAAATCGTAGTCTCGCTTCCCCTCCAGTATGACACTGTCCCACCTTTCTTTGAAAGATAAAATAAAATAAAAAAACAATGTCGAAAGGACGCGCCTGCCGACGGCGGCGTGTCTACTTGTCGCGATGACGATGACGTAGACGCACTCGGCTCTGCCGAGCTGCACTATGCTGACTGCTCGACTTTGGCGAAGGGCTCTCGCGTCCTCGGTGACGGGCAGTGACCGAGCGCGGTGCACCGCCTGGCCTTGCGATGGTGTGGGCGACCCTCTTGAGCAGGGTATCGCGAGTCGGGTATCGATGTAGGGAAATGCAAGAGCGCAGCACAACATTTCTGAGGTGTCTTGCTTTAAAAAAAAGTAAAAAAATGACCCTTATTTTGACCCGCGCACACAGAAAACTGTTTCTTTGTATTTTTTTCCCCTGTCGTTTGGAAGTCAGGGTGCATGTGTTTGGTGTGTATCCGCCGTAACACACTTGAAGGTCGCACTCCTCTCTCGTGTTGTACACTTGAACTTCACACCGGCCGTCTCCACTCGTGCCGGTCGCGGGTGCGTTTTTGGGGGCGTTTGGAAAATCACGATGATTGTCCTCGCGGGTGGGCGGGGCGGGGCCCCGGTAATCCACCTGCTCGGCCGTATCTGGCGGGCGGGGCCCGCGCGCGCGGCCAACCCACCGCCAATCTTAATCCACCTGGATCCAAGCTCACGACGCCCGGTCGGCCGCGCCGGCGGTCAGGAGGACTACACGACGCCGCCCGATCGCGCGATAAAACATTCCATCGAGAGTCGCATATTCACGACGATTAGCTCAGTTATCGTTGGAGTGTCGATACAATGCATGGGAACCGCGCGTTTCTTCTTCTTTAGAGCTAAAACTTTTCTATGATCACGGGTTTTCTCTGTAGCTCCGAGCCCCCGCCATGGCAGACAACCACGGTTACGATGAGGACTCCACGACGACGGTGATCAGGAGGCCGTCGGTCAACCGCGCCGACGGTGAGTGGAGGCCAGAATAGACCACCTAGACGCACTCGTCGATGAAGACCGGAATTGTGACGGCCAAGGAACATTTTGGAGTTTTGATCTGAGGTCGCTATACTAAGTACAAGCAATTATTACTACAACACATAATTAGCCGCAATTTTGACCTGGTATTTGTAAATTTGCACCTTTTACTCCATTAAGTGTACAATGAGCATTCACACACCTACAAGTGTACGACATTAACACACCTGCGTTGCCTCATTCACTGCTGACTCATAGACGATTTTTCATGCCTTGCCCGTTCATGGCAGTCATAACACCCCCCGGACGCAGCCGGCTGGCCGCGAGCGGGACGGAGGGGTTGCCGGCATTCACACGGGGATGCAGATAATAGAGCGGTGCCACTACAGAGGGCTGCGCGGCGGGCGGCGGGCGGGCTGGGCTGAGCTAGGCTAGAGGACGACCAAAACACGCTCCAGGGTCACACGATACACAAGAGGCCTCAAAATTTTGCACTAGGGGAGTTTCCGATGCACCAACCGCCTAACTCTGTATATTCACGAGCTTATGATACAGGGTGGGTGATCTATGCAGTTCATTTTTCTGGCCGTACTGTACCGGACTCACGCCCTGTCCGTGTCACACCACTAATCCTGTATTTGAATTGCTCTTATTCTCAACCTTTTTTTAGACACACCTCGCAAGAAATCCAACGCCCGCACAGATGCCGAGGTCCCAGAGAAGGTAAGCTCGATGCATTTCGAATTTTTGGGAGTGCCTTACCCTGCCGGCCGCGTTTACCAAACAGCGTTGTTGTTCTTCTTTTCAGAAACTTAAATACCCCAAAGTGGTGTTCTTCATCATCAGTAACGAGTTCTGTGAACGCTTCACCTACTATGGCATGCGCAGTACGTACTAAATGCAGTGCAAAACGCCCTCACTACTCCAGCGGACGGTGCGAAGCTCATGTGTTCCATTGCGTTTCAGCTGTCCTGTCCCTCTTCCTCAAGAACGCCCTGCGGATGGAGGAGAGCGATGCCACGATCACGTACCACGTCTGGACCATGCTCTGCTACTTCTTCCCCGTCGTGGGCGCCATCATCGCCGACAGTTGGTTGGGCAAGTTCAAGTAAGTACTAAAGTACGACAATTTTAAATTCGGCTCCGGGAACATTTCACACACTCGAACTGAAGTTTGGCACGCCACCTCTTGCAGAACCATCGCTATTCTCTCCATGGTCTACGCACTCGGCAACATTGTCGTGTCTCTGGCGGCAGTGACAACCTGGGGACTGCCATCAATGTGAGTGCAGAGACAGTGGCAGTGTAGGTTACTATACCCCGGGCTACAATTATTACGGGATCCTAAGGAATGACGGCCCTGATCCTTTTGGGATCCCATAATATTTGTACCCCAGCTCAACGTCACGTAGTATTGGAACGACCCCCTCGTGGTGGACAGGGAGCTGACGTACCTGGGGCTGATGCTCATCGCCATCGGCACGGGCGGCATCAAGCCCTGCGTGGCCTCGTTCGGCGGCGAGCAGTTCACCGTGCCGCAGCAGGCCAAGCAGCTGGCCGGCTTCTTCAGCGTCTTCTACTTCTCCATCAACGCCGGCTCGCTCATCTCCACGTGGCTCACGCCCGAGTTGCGCACCGTCACCTGCCTCGGCATGGACACCTGCTACCCGCTCGCCTTCGGCGTGCCCGCCGTCCTCATGATCGTCGCCATCGGTGAGTCAACGCTTCACACACCTGCATGTGTGCGACCTAATTTTCACTCACCTGCAGATGTGTGAATGCGACCATTCACACACTTGGCACTTCGGGGCGGGCAATATGCTACTTTTTCAACTGTACAAATCTTTATTCGCGCACTTACAAGTGTGTAAATAGTTTGTCGCACACCTGCAGGTGTGTTAACCTTTTTACTGACCTTGGTGAGCCGCCACTACAGGTGAGCGACATACGCATACGTGTACACCTGGATTTTTCATGTATGCTGTCCGTTGTCGTTTCGGATTGATTCAAAACAAGAGTGGTCGCGCCAATTTTATGATTTTCGTAGAAACATGAAAAGTGGCCTTGAAGATTTACACGACTGTTTCACTCTTCCAGTTATCTTCATTGCCGGCAGTAGTGGCTACAAGATCACCAAACCAAAGGGGAACGTGATGGTTGAAGTCTCCAAGTGCATGGGGGTAAGTGACGCACCCCCTCCCCCAGTGCACACAGTGCATCTTGTCTTTTCAATTTTTTTTAAAAAATCGTGTACGTTCTTCTTGTCCACAGAGCGCGTTGGTCAACAAGATCAAGAGCAAGGAGAAGAAAGAGCACTGGCTCGACTACGCGGACGCCAAGTACGGCGAAACGCTGCGCAGGGACATCAGGGCCGTGCTCCGGGTGCTCATCCTCTTCGTGCCCATGCCCATCTTCTGGGCGCTATACGACCAGCAGGGCTCCAAGTGGACGTTCCAGGTACACGCATGACCCCCCCCCCCTCCCCTCTCAGCATGTACCACCTGTTCAGGGGCGTGCTGAACGCTTTCAGTGGGAGAGCGATTGTGCGCGCTCTTTTAGGGGCGCGATCTCTCTAAACGCAAACACACTTTCTTTCCGGACAGGCCAATAACATGAACGGCCGAATCGGCTCGTGGGTCTTCAAGCCGGACCAGATGCAGGTGGTCAACCCCATCCTGATCATGATCCTCCTCCCGCTGTTTGAGTACGCCGTCTACCCTCTTCTGAGCAAGTAAGCGTTTGTCACTTGCCGTCGCTACAATACACGATAACGTTCTGCGCTCACCGTGAACCCTGTCCGCAACGCCAGGATGCGCCTGCTGAGGAAGCCGCTGCAGAGGATCGCGACCGGCGGCATGCTGGCGGCCGTGGCGTTCATCATCTCCGCCCTGATCCAGATCCAGCTCGACGTGCGTGCCCCCAGATCAGAGTCCTGTTGAATGAAGTGTGAGCCACGCGTGACACGCACTGTTTAAAGTAAGGCGAGCGTGCTCTACTTTCGATAACGTGAGACGTTTGTCACGCATCGTAAGTTTTGAGCATACCTGTCTCGCATGTGTGCGTATGGCATGCTCGTCTCTCACTTTCAGTTTTAGAACTCTGTCTCGCAGGACGTTACACTAGAGACCCGCGACGAGCGAGTGATCCGAGCAACGCGCAAACCCTACCACAGTTGTGCTCCAGGGCGAGGGGAGGGGAGGGGATCGTCCAGAAAGTAGATCCGTTTTTCTCAGATTTATTCGGCATTTTTGGTGGCTCGGCGCCTGTGAGACTATGGGTAGGCCAACCCGCACGACATGCATGTACTGCAGGCGAGATGTTGCCTACCCAACAGGCGCCATGAGGAGTAGGGTTGCAGAGGCTGCAGCAGAGGCGGGCGCTTGCTCCGGTTGCTCGCTCTTTCGCGGGTTTCTAAACGTTACCAAGTAGTGTGAGCAGGGCAGGCTAGCATGCCCCTGCCCTACTTTAGAAAGTGTGAGACATGCGTGGATCACTGCGCTGGAAGTAGGACACGCTGGTCACGGCTGTCTTATTTTCAAAAGTTTGAGAGACCGTCGTCTCATACTTCATTTAACGGCGAGATCGTGTGTCGCATAGGTAGGGAAGCGGGTCCTTTTTTTTATTGTCGTGGGTGATAAGCGCGATCCTTGCAGCCCAACCTGCCCCGGGACCCGGAGCCCAACTTCGCCCAGGTCCGAGTCTTCAGCAGCCTGCCTTGCGAGGTGACTCTCAGCGGCACGGGCGGCAGCGACGCCCAGGCTATCACCACCTTCCAGCTGCCGTCACTCAGCCACTGGGAGCAGCTCGACTTTAAGACCGAAGGCTCCTCCGACCTGAACCTGCACATCAAGGGGGAGGGAAATTGCGTGCCCGAAACAAGCCTCAAGCTCACCCTCACGGAAAAGACGGTGAGGTTTGCAGCCCTGAGTTGAATTGCAATGCCATAAAAATAACGTAACTTTGGCTGTAAGGGGAAGACTTGCTCTTATAATTTACACGGGGCCTTCTCTTCTAGGCTGTGGCGTACCACCTCTACCTCGATGGCGACAAAGTAGCTCACGCCGGCCCGTACAAGGACGACTTTTTCAAGGATGCTGTGGCTAAAACGCGGATAATGTACCACTTCGCTGACAGCTCGGAGCACGTAGTGGGCTTCAAGCTCGATGGGAAGGTGGTAGACAAGAAGGCTAGCGTGACAGGCACGGGCGTGGCGGAAATATTAGATCTGGAACCTGCCGAGTAAGTGCCCCAGTAAGTGGCTTAGTTCTTCGTGATTAATTTCACCCTTGCAAGGATTAATGCCACACGATGTTTTATGTCTATTTTCACAGTTACACCGTCATAGTCGATGGTGTGGACATAAGCACGGCTCGGCCATACTTCGACGTCGGAGGATTTTACTACGTTCTCGTGGATAAGGTGAGAGTCCTCACCGGTCTGGACCCAGCTGGGTCGCACTAACTTCAGACCCGTTTGCTTCCTGCAATTAATTCCACTTACTGATTGTTTCTCCGTATGTCGAGCAGAGCCTCCCTGCCGTTGCCTCAGTTTCGGTCGTGATCGAGCCCAACACGCTGAGCCTCTTCTGGCAGATGCCGCAGTACATCGTGATCAGTGTGGCCGAAATCATGGTTTCCGTTACTGGAAACGAGTTCTCCTTCACCCAGGTATATTAAAAATTCAACCAGGAAAGCAGTGAGCAGTCGCCCTGCCCCCTGCCCTGCCCAGTCTTTGATATTAAACATCGATTCTCCACCCCCAGGCACCAAACAGCATGAAGGCCGTCGTGTTCTCGGCCTGGCTGATCACGGATTCGTTCGGTAACCTCATCATCATCCTCATCGAGAGTGTCAAGATCTTCCCCCGCCAGGTAGGGGATCGTGCACACACTACCGCACGTGCACTGGACGGGGACGGGGGTACACATGTAATGTCCCCATATTTGGCTGAGGGTCATTATTGTAGTCTATATGGGCTCCAATGATGACGGTCATGATTCTTTTGGGACCCCATAACATTTGTGCCCCTATAATATTCGTACCCCCTCCCCCTTGTGTGTAACTGACTCTTCCGCCTTCCCCAGTCGGACGAGATTTTCCTGTTCGCCGGCCTCATGGTGTTCATCATGATCGTGTTCATCTGGCTGGCGGTTCAGTACAAACCTGCGCCCCCACCCGCATCCGAGGAGGAAGAGGAGGGCGAGGAGGAGGACGCCGGGGAGGAGAAGAAGAAGAAGAAGGGGGCCGAGGGCAATGGGGAGAAGTTTTAGGGACGTGCCCGGGAATTACACAAAATATGTAACTTCGATAAGGGCGATTTCTTATGCAACTGACAACACAACTCTCAGTGCAGTACAGTGACAGCACTCAAAAAAGTTGCGTCATTAGACCAACACCATGTCGTCGTTAGAATGACTCTATAGCGACATGAGGTGCTGACTCAACGATAAGCGTCTCGGTACAACGACGGTGGTCGGAAGGTTGGCCAACAGACTGTCTTGGGACCAATGGAAACAACTCGACGATCGTCGTAGCCGCGACCGTTGCAACAACGTTATACTTTTTTTAGAGTGCCCGAGGACTGACGTACTCTCAAGCCCAACCTCGAATCACAGCGAAATGTTCGACGACAGACATGTTCCAAGGACTGATAGGACACCGCGCGAGGAATAATATCTATAAAACTCTCACGTGTGTTTGCTTTCCCCGACTAACTCTGTAAACTGCAACATCACCTTTGCTTTTTGGTTTCTTGCCACCATGGACACTAGAAAATTCCGCCCAGAAAAACACAGAACTTGGCACAATTTGAAAAACAAACAACAAAACGGTGAACTGCCAGGTGAACAACTATCGACCATACAAAAGGATGACCATCCAACCGCCGCAGAGGTTTTTCACGTTTTTCGCACCGACTGACATCACTTTTTGCGTTGAGAGTGTCCTGGTAAACTACTCGAAAATCTCTCTGCGGTTGCTGCAACTCATTTTGCACGGGAACACTAAGTCTTTAAGAAAAGAAGGAGACATCGGTTTGAAAAGCATATTTTTTATTGGTCCATTTCAAATATCTTGCAATCCTTCGGGGTTGGATTCAAGAAGGTCTTATTCAAAAAGCGATTCTGTCGTCATCCGGCAGAGTCGATCCTCAGGCATCGAGGGTGACGTTGACGGAGGCGGTGCTGTTGTCAGCCCAGGGGGGCAGGATGGGGCCGGTGCCGTTGCCAGGGGGAGGGAGG